AAATTTTTTTAGTGGGGGGGGGGGGGAGGGTTAGAACTTCTCAAAGTAATTTTTTGTGTCCTCCATTCCCCATATTTGTTGTCTGATCTATCACCATGAGAAGAGCTGTGACAGAATCTCAAATTAAATCCAAAGAGGTAACTTGATGGAGATTGAAACCAGTTCCTACTCTATCCAAAAGAGTAAAAAAAGTTTTGGCTTGAATTTTACTTTAATAAATCACATATCCAGTAAAATCCTAAAAACAGACACTATATGAAAATTAAAGGAATTCGGGTGTCTTTGTTACTTTACAAAAATTCGACAGAAATTCTTTATCCATTTTAATTTATAAACCTCTATTTGTACATGTGCTTGACAGCTGAACGATGACTTTGCATGAGTATACTATTCCGTTTTCTTGGTCCATCCAAATTTTTCCAAATTTATTTAAAAAAAAAAAATATAACTTTTTTTTGCTGCTTGTTGTTTGTTATACAGGCACATAAAACAAGTACTTTGGTAACTAATGAAAATTAAATCAGCATTTAAAGAGGAACTGAACTCTGGAAGCTGTTCCCCCAAAATATAGCAGATGGTAAAGCACTAGTCACCAGTATTCTTGTGGTCTCTTGGCAGCTGATATTTCCCCATTAGGCCCCATTCACACTGAGCGATTTATCGAGCAACTTTTGCAGCGATATCGCTCATATTTCCACGTGATATCGCTCTATGTAGCTTCTCCAATCCATTTCAATGGAGCTGTTCACATCTCGTCGCTCAATATCGCTCAATATCGCTTGTAGTTTGTCGCTGTAGCTTGTCGCTCCTACATTACCCTTTTTTCGAGCGATTTCGCTCCTGATTGCATACAGCCCAATAGGAAAAAGTCACGTGACAAGTCGCTCAATATCGCTCATATTAAAATCGTGCGGAAAATCGCGCAATTTTCATGTCGCTCAGTGTGAATGGGGCCTTACTGATTTACCATGCCTTGTTGTTCACTCTCTTTGGAGGCATCCATCTTCGTAGATGCAGGACTCTGCTTCTGATGTCAGACCCTACAGCAAGGAGAACTGTGAACAGCACAGTAGCGACATCACAAAATCTCACTCTAAATCTTCTAAAACTAGCAGTCAGAGGCAGCAGTGCCTTAGATATCACACTGCAGGTATACAGCTATGAAACTGTATGCATAGGAGTGCCTAGACAACACACTCATACCACAAAGTGCACTGCTAGTTTTCAAGAAGAATTAAAGACAAATTTATATTTAACTCAATTGACATTTTTAAATGTCCTCTATTTTGAGTTCAGGTCCACTTTAAAGAGAACTCCCAAAAAGTAAGGAATACCCTGTAGCCTATACCGCTGACAAAACAAAAATTAATAGATTCATATTATAGCACATTTTAGCAAAACAGGACAATCAAAATACAAGATCACATTGACTGGGCTGGTTTAGGCTGACTAATGGTTAGGATAAAGTCCGTGATAAACGTTGGAAAATAAGACAGAGGCAGGAAAATGAGTTTAGCATCCCAGCCTACAGAATATCGGGTCCATGGATAAACAGCAGTCAAAGCGTGCTCTACAGTCTGTGGGACCAGATGAATATTTTGATTGGTAATGTATTTTACTGCGTCAGCAGCCTTGAGGCCTATAAAAAAAAAAAAATAACATAAGATGAAAGAGGTTGGGTAAGGTCGGGTAAACTGGAAGTAGACAGGGTGACACATACATGTCGCTGTTTGATTAATCAATTCAACAAAAACAACTGAATCAAGCAAGGCTCTTTTGAGATCACTAACACATTTTTCAATTGTTTCCATAGAAGTTGACTTCGATATTAATTTTTTCATATTCATGGTTGTTTACTAAAGCTTATATTTCAACATTTGTAAAATTTCAACATAATTAAAATTATTATGTTTTTATGATTTTTTGTGGTCCTCTTAATATGACGTGACTGATGAATACTGCCATTGTATAAAGTAGATCATTTTGAAGAAGCACTAGTATTTAGAGAATATAGAGGCTTATAATTTGCAGACTAAAGAGATAAGGAATAAAATTGAACATTTTAGTTGTTTATGTGGCATTTTCTGGCTCCTTCTATTTTTTCATACACCACTTGCTGTACACGATCAGCAAAGATGTGGCTGCTGGATGCTGCAGTTTTGAGTGTTTGCATTGCCACTCCCCATCTCTCTGTTTTCCACTTCTCCCTCCTCCTAAAGTAGCCACCACTCCAAGCTCACTCCCATGAAAGATTACAATGTCACATTTAGTTTACTAATTTGTACCAAGATTGTAGTCCATCATGGGAGCAAGTTTGGAGCGGTGGCTACTTCACAACACACACAGGCATCACGAGGAACAAAATTAGCCACGCTCCAGAAGGAAGGACAGTGTCAGCACCAATTCAGAGAAGATTTGAAGATCTACAGCCAAGTAATGTACTGATAAGCTACATTGTTGTTTATAGTTAGGGCACTTGAATGCATTCTTAAGTTTTAGCTCCTGAGTTTAGTGTCACTTTCAATTTCCTAAAATCTACATAATTCTTACAGTAAGGACCTTCCAAAAAAGTGGTTACAGTAATGTAGAAGATACCATTTAATTAGACACCAAACACGGGCATAGTATGAGGTCTAGAAGGCTAATGAAACACATTAGACATTCTAGACAAAATACGTTGGTTGTCGGATATTTAAACCCTGTCATATGGAAATATAGATATACCAGTATGGTTAGCATTAAGGGTGTGTAAGCTGAGCATAATACATTGCTCTCCAGCACCCCTATCATCAACCCCTCAGATTCTGTGATGGGTTAAAGTTGGATTTGCAAAATCTGCTTCAGGGACTACAAAATGCTGTTGCATTGGCAGCTCTGGGGCTCTCGTTGGACATCAAAACTGCCAAGGATACTGACAGATTCACATTTCAGAGGGCCAGTGACTCTGCTATATCATATTGTACTTACTCTGCAGGCAATCCAAACTCTGCTCTGAAATAATTAATTTATTTTGAAAGCATCCTTACAGCAGCATTTTTACAGTATTTTTAACAAGTGCTCAAAGCTTTTGCACAGTAGTGTACATAAAAATAGATTGTGCTAAGTTTAACTGTTGATAAATGAGTTAGAACGTTTTCCTAGCTCAATTAGATGTAGCAAGCGGTATTTGAGAAAACATACGTTGTATTGAGAAAGAACTAAAGAGTTTGTTTACCAATGTTCCCGGTTATGATTATAGATCTGAAAAAATAACTAGTTTCTCTGATATAATCAATACTTTTTATACTTTGTTGCACTGGGGTGTAGCTGCGGAGGCAAATGGCATATTTTTGAATCCGTAGAACCATATGGGAATCACATGAGTCATTTTTTATTTAATCTTTTTTCTGCAGCAGGGGTCTGCTAACATCCATGTGTGAAGCCAATCACCAAGAAATGAATCTTTACCAGAGCAGCGAGGGAGTCAAGAAAAAACTAACAGTAGTTTCAGAGGTGTAACTAGAACCTTCAGGGCCCCAGCGCAAGAAACCATGAAGGGCCCCCCCCCTTCGACATGCCACCACATGGTTAACAGGAAGGCTGCCGAGGTCCCCAGCAAGCGCGGCACCTCAGGCAGCCGCTTGTTTAAAATTTTAGTGCCGGTGTTCTGTTGAGAACGCTGACCCAGTATCTGCGCTTACGCACAGACGGGATTAACGAGGAAACCGGCATTTATTTACAAAGTATTCGTTTGTAATGGTTAATTGTGACCGGTAATAATATGCCGTCCCTGGCAGTAAATGATGGGTGGCAGTAAATGATGGATGGAATATTATTAACAGTCACAATTAACAATTTAAACAAAATACTTTGTGAATAAATCCCGGTTCCCTCGATAATATTGGTCTGTGCGCAGATGCTGAGGTTGGCAAATTCGACTACATCGGCGTTCTCGACAGAACAGCAGTATCTGCGTTTAGTACCGCTGCGACCCTGTTAGTTCCTCCAGTGAGTAGTTGTATCCCTTCCCTATTCTAATGCAAATTTATTTTTATTCATGTCGTGTTCCCGTTGGAGAGATTTCCATTCAATTTCTGTCTCAATGACTATTGTCACTGGGGCAGGAAGTGAGGACAATCCTTCATAATGGGGACAAAGACAGCATACAAATCTACAGAAGTTTTAACTGGTCTGACTGGAATATGAATATAATATTTACTACGAGACATATATCTTCCAGCAAATGAACCATGCCCCCACAACTTTCATCCACAGAGTTACGAGCTTATGTAGTGATTGATGGGTCATACAGTGTCTGGGGCCAATAACTAAACCTATACGACAATCCTTTATATATCTTTTTTCCCACTATAAAGCAACAAAACATCTGCCTTCTAAATGGATAACTTCTGTTAAGTTCATGATTGATTTTATGAAATTCCACATGTCTCTGATATTTTAAATGTAAAAAAATTAACTCTGCCCTTGTAACCCCTGATGACACTCATTTTGTCCATTTGGATACAGAACTACTTCAATTTATTAAACTTGATTCCCTTAACCTGTATTGGGCCTGATATGGGAAAATAATGTTGAATTAAAATCTAGGGAAATTGTCTTGTTTCCATTAGGGCTGGCATTATTCTGCATTGCGCTGTATAACTTATTATTGCTGGGATTTGTAGTCCTCTATAGCTGGTGGTATTCTGCAGTGTGCTGTATAATGATTATACGGCACAATACAGAATACCACCAGCTATATAGGAATACAACAAATGCCAACAATAGTACATTACACAATAATGTACTATTGCTGGGATTTGTAGTCCTCTGTAGCTGCTGGTATTCTGCATTGCACTGTATATAATGTATTATTGCTGGGATCTGATGTATTCCTCTATAGCTGGAGTTATTCTCCATTGTGCCGTATAATTTATTATTGCTTGGCTTTGTAGTCCTCTATAGCTGGTGGTATTCTGCATTGCGCGGCTTAACTGCCGTGTGCGGTGGGCGTGTCATGCGCGGCGTGGAGCGGTGAAAGGCAATTTAATGGATAGCCGACTAATCGATGATGGAAAACGTTGACAATTTTTTTCATCGGCGATTTTAATCTACTAAATTTAATAATTGTAGCAGCTCTAGGTTCCATTGCAAATCAGCTTCAAACTTTTATTCTTACAGTGCAGGTTTGAAAAAAAGTCAACAGTTTATTACTATCAAGATACATGCAGAGGCATCCCCTTGATGAGGTGGCCTGAGGCAGCAGCCTCAGGCAACATGTCATGGGGGGTGCGGCAGCATGGGCAACTAACAGCACCCTCCTTCCCACTGACTGCGCCCAGCCTCCCGCTTGGCCTCATGTCTAGCTGACAGCTCAGTGAGAGAGTGAGAGAGTGAGAGAGTGAGAGAGTGAGAGTGAGAGTGAGAGTGAGAGAGAGAGAGAGAGACTATCTAAAGTTAGCTGCTGTCAGACTGTAGTCAGTCTGATCCTGATTTGATAATCTGTGCTCATTGTTGGAAATACAACAGCATATTACTGACATTCTACTGGCGCTGTAGTGCAATGCTAGTCTGTATGTTCATACTTATCTATGATACTAAGGGAGTTTTCCTATCTATATGTTTCCTGTATAATGCTGTATTTCTATAAACATGTATACAACATTCTTCTAAGCAAGTAAAACTTAATTCAGCATTACTCAAGATCTTAGTGCTTCATCTAAACACATAACTAACGCTCATTTGGTTTCTCCTAAGCACTCTGTTATTGTTTGCATCTGCCTGCTGCTGGGTGTAACCTTGCCACAGAGCTGAGCAACCAATATTGGTGTGTTATGAATATGTGTGTCTCTCTAGCCAATCACTAGGAGGTTCATAGCCAGTGGTGCATGCTGGGGAAGACATAAATATTTGGGGCTGACCATGCAAGAGTCTCTTTCACCCTGGGCTCCTGCCTGCAGCTCGGGTACTGTGGATTGTCTGACCTAGCTAGGCCTGCAGCCTAGAAAGGGAAGCCATGTGCTCACACTGAGGCCTGGGTATGGGGCCTAGTGAATGAGGATGGAGATGACAGAGAGCAACTTCAGCAGGCGTACCAGACTTCTCTGGTTGTTCGCGGGCCGGTACTTTGAGACCCCCTGCTTTAAAGGGTAATTCCACTTTCCCAGGTGAAATTGGGAAAATGGAATTAAGGCCACTAATCTGCCCCCTCTCTCACACACATTGCTCAGATTGGTGTTGTTAATTCCATTTCCCAAATTCACCTAAGAAAGTGGAATTACACTTTAAACATTATCATAGATTTGCTGATATACAGTAGATGTTTCAGCATTGCCATCTACTGGCCATTAACAAACTTGCGCCCTCTCTGCAATATTTCATCACTAATTTCAAGGTAAACCCCTGGCAAATAAAGCACAGTAGTGGAGGTGGTCTGAGTTTTGTTTAGAGTAGAGAACAAAGCACCCCAGAAGGACATATTCCCACTAAGCTGCTTTGTGTTGCACTTGGCAAAACAGATAAGGGCATGTGCACACAGCTGAACTGCAATTCCTAGGATATATGCTATACGGAGGAGGAGGTGTCCTTTGCAGTGCTAAGTTTACCTTGATACAACCAGGCATAGAATAGACTCTTACAACTGTTAAGACAAGTCCTTATGGATTTATGGCTATAAAGGTAAATAAATGCTCCAATATCAGTATACGTGATGCGATTATGGTATTTCATTTACATTTCTTTTGGAATACTCACTTTCTTTAAAAAAATCCTCTCCATAATCTCTTTTGACTTCTTCTGGAGCACTTTTCCAAGTCCTGCTTATATCTGCTTTGAGAGCATCAATATTTGTTATCTGTGTGCCAAATCCTCCTGGTTCTATGATAGCCACTTTCACATTAAAAGGCTTCATCTGACGCCTGGAGAAAACATACATAATGCATATATTAGGCAACTTATTCTTAGACCAGTTGTGATATAAACAGAAGAAAGTAAAGTCCATGAACCCATTGCACTCGAAACCACCGTTCCAAAGTAATAAAGGTGGGTGCTGCGGCTGTCGACGGCTGGCCACCGTGATATTTAGCTAGTAGAATATATAGAGACATCGGCACTCCAAATAGTGAATCAAATACGTCTGTTTATTGGCCTACGAGCAGCATAACGTGATGCACTCAATGCGACGTTTCGGGGTCTCACAGGATCCCCTTAATCACTTGTTCTGCCTGATGAAGGGGATACTGCGAGACCCCGAAACGTCGCATTGAGTGCATCACGTTATGCTGCTCGTAGGCCAATAAACAGACGTATTTGATTCACTATTTGGAGTGCCGGTGTCTCTATGTAAACAGAAGAAAGATCCCATACATTTTATTGATTTACAAAGCTGAATTCATCAAGACAAAGAACATAAATTGTTGCTGCCAACAAAAGTTTTTCATATGAAATGCACTTCATCAAGGTAGTATGGGAGCATTTTAAAACTCCCCAATCACAGTAAAACCTTCATTTTGTTATGGTCATTAAGACCCATGGTTCCCAGCATGCACATCTATGGGATCCAAGAAAATAAAAGCTCTAAGTTAATTGCAGACAACTGAACCAGTGGATGATTCTAACCATAGGTTCCATGCTGAAATCTCTTTGTGGAATGCACCAGTGTCTATATCTAACCTGGCTGATTTTATTGGCTATAGGAGAGTACTGAAAAAATACATTGATTATATGTATTGTCTCTTGACTTTTTTTAGATGATCCCTTGAGAAGTTCCAGGGTAGCAACCAGTCACCAATTCTTTCTTGCCAGGTATGATATTAGCCGGAGTTCCCGAATGCTGTGTAGTATTTGACAGCTGCGAATGGCAAATGGGCGGAGCAAGCCGTGAAGTCACGACTCGCTCCGCCCATCTGTTTACTTTCGAGCAGGAATGTCATTTTGCGACAAGTTTTCGTCGGGTTCGGACGGTCATCGTGCGGCGGGACTTTTTTTTATTGGGTCCCCTGAAAACTCATCTTTTCGGGTCGGCAGGCGTCGTGCATCGTGATTGACGCTGGATTACCTCGATGGAGCCATTTAAAAAAAATGTTTTAATTAAAGGAACATCGACTGTTTTTTTTTCAATTAAAAGGATTTTATCAAAAGTCTGGACTTTTTAATAACTCTTTTATTTAACCCTTTAGTGAATGGGTATGGGTGCAAGTACCCCTTACTCATTCACAAGGAGGGGGCGGCATCTGGGTGCCTTGTCCCCATCGGCATGGGGGCACCCCCCCAATGCCGTAGGCACGTGGCCTGGTAAGGTGCCGGGCCAGTGCTCGGATCAAGGGTCTGGTAGGACTCTTAAGGGGGACCCCACTTCCCCCCCCGCCCATTTTTGGGGCTGGGGTTCCCCCTTATAATTCCTACCAGACCTAAAGGGCCTGGTAGGATTTTGAGGGGAACCCCACGCACTTTTTTTTTGTTTTAACTTGGGGGGTCAATCCTAACATTCCTACCAGACCTAAAAGGTATGAATTGGGGGGGAACCTCACACTTTTTTCCCCCCTCTTCTGCAGACTGTAAAAAAAACAAAAAACAAACGTTTTTTTCCCTCAAATGTCACTTTGCTGCGAACGAAAACAAAACTAAATTTCGACCGAACTACCGCTAACAAATTTTTCCGAATCCCGAAACGAATTGAATTTTGGACCCGAATCCCGAAAAACGAAGTAAAGCAAAATCCAAATAAAAACGAAATGAAACGAAACTATTTTTTTGCCAGTGCATTTCTAAACTCTACTTCCTTCTATACTGTTTTCCATTTTACATAAGGGTCCCCTAAGGCTCTATGCTTGGACCCCTTCTAGTCTCTATCTATACCTCCTCCCTTGGTCAGTTGATAACCTTGCATAGCTTCCAACACCATCTCAATGATGATGACATACAAATGTATTTCTCTGTTCCTCAGCTAACTCCTTCAGTGTCCTTGTGCATCACTAATTTACTAACTGACATATCAGTCTAGATGTCACACCAGTTCTTAAAACTCAGTCTTTCAAAAACTGTGCTATTTCCTTCGCCCCCTTGTCCCCCCAACTTTTCCATTGAGATCAATAGCACAACTATTCTTCCTTTCCCCCATGCCAGAGTGCTAGATGTAATAATAGATGTTGACCTCTTCTTTCAGCCCCACATCCAATCACTGTCCAAATCCTGCCACCTTGACCTTCATAACATCTCCAAAATATGCCCCTTCTTAACCAATGAGACCACAAAGCTACTTATCAATTCACTTATTATCTTTCATCTTGACTATTGCAAATCCCTCCTCATTGGCCTACCTCTGATTAGGATGTGAAAGCAACAATAAAGAGCTGGCCCTATCTGCCTGATGTCATTGGTTGCTACGAAGCTAGTAGTTCTAGCTACCCTCTTTATCCAGAATCAACCATCTCAGCAACCGCTCAGTGTCTGCAATCCCCCTCTGCCAGTCTCTCCACTGGCTTCCAATCACCCAAAGGATAAAAGTCAGAATATTAACAACCACTTACAAAGTGATCCACAACTTGTCTCCAGAACTGCTCCAGAGTCTCTCCCATCTTCTGGAACTCTTTACCCAAACCTGTCCGTCTATCTCCAGATCTGTCTACCTTTAGGCAACCCCTGAAAACTCATCTTTTCAGGGAAGTCTATCATACCTCTACCTAACATCTGAAATTGTATTTCCTTAAACAACTCAGCCCCACACAGTTGCCACCTTTTGTATGACTTGCCCCTCCCTTTTAGATTGTAAGCTCTCACGAGCAGGACTCTCCTAACTATTTTGTATTGAATTGTATTATACCTCTACTGTCTCCCTTTACATTGTAAACAGCTGTGCAAACAATTGGTGCTATATAAATCCTGAATAATAATAAAAATAATAATAATAATAATAAAAAATGACCAACTGATTATAAAACTCTGTTACTGGGGGGAGGGTTTAGAAAAAAAAGCTACTGACAGACTGCATCATAGATATAATTTTTTTTATTTTGCCCATAGTTTCACTTTCAACTGCCCAATAGTAACACTATGTTGAGCCGAACCTCCGGCAGGCTACTCGCTGCTGTTCGGCCTATTCTTAGATGCCGAGCGGTGAGCGAATAGCCAAATGCCGCTGAGCACGGCTCCATGTCAGAAGAAAAAACCCCCCAAAAAACGGGTTTCTCTCCTGGGCAGCCGGTAGCGGGAGACTCACAGAGCGCCTGGGAGAGTTTGGTGTCTGGAGACCAGTGTCCCTGGTTAGCTGGTAAACAAGGACGCTGATCTCTCTGCAAGTGGCCGGAGCCAGCCATAAGATCACGGCTGGCTCCGCCCAGCTGTCAGAAGCAGGCCGCTCGGCCAGCTTCGGCTTTCAGCGCGGCCCAGCCGAGCCGAGGCATATGCCTTCGGCTCGACTGAGCCACTCGGCTAAGTTCGGGAGCTGTACGGGCTATAGTGAATAGCCCGTACAGCAGCCCTTCGGTTCTACGGAACCGGAGGGGTCCTGGGGCCGAAGCTAGCCGAAGGATCGGCTGAAGCTACGGCTAGATCCTTCGGCTGCTTCGTGAATAGACCCCTATGTATGTACCTCTAAATGATGCAAATAGAAACAGTAAGAAAACTATAAATGAACTGAACTCACCTGACACTGTCTGAGAAGGCTTCTACTCCATACTTGGATATACAATATGCTCCACTAGTTATAGCAATTCTTCCTACCGAACTGGACATGTTAACCACGCGTCCTCTAGCCTTCCGGACAAATGATAAGAAATTGATTGTCACATCAATCATCCCTAACAGGTTAATATCAATGACTTTTGAATAATCTTCTTTGATCATCCATTCATCAGGACTACATGGGATACTGACTCCTGCATTGTTTACTAGGCCCCAGAGCCCTGCAAAAGTGAAAACAAATGAAATAAAGTTATGTATTGATATACCTTTCCAATAATCATTATTTCCATTAATAGATAGTTACAGAAAAACCCACACAAACAAATAAGAGAAAATGCAATTTCATTGCATCTGCAGAATGTGCCAAGGTACGTTCCTAACACTAATCTAAGCCAGGTAAGATACTTGGATGAGTGGCAAACATTTACATGACAGAACAAGCCTAGTTGAGTAGGAATAAGTAGCACCCCCCTGACTTCTAGGAGCAGGGGGAGCTGACATGTCACCTCAGGGATGAGTCCTTAGCCGGTACGTGGGATGCGAAAGCAACAATAAAGAACTTGGGAGCTGGCCCTGCCTACCTGATGTTTTTAGTTGCTAGGAAGCTAGTAGTCCTAGCAACCAATGACTGAAGCACAGGGAGGGCCTGCGCTGGGTTATAGCTGTGTATCCACTCTAAGCTAGCCATAATCCAGTGCAGGTTGGTGACCGTGGTCCAAACAGAACCGCCACTCGGTCCATGCCCACACTGCAGTCTGCCATTTAGTGACCACTGGTATAGCTAGTGGTAATTAGTCATAATCCTAAGTCAAAATTCTAATACACAGCCCCGATTGTATATTATGACTTTAACGTTGCTTATATTAAAGCTAAGAAAAATTAAAATCTAACCTTTGTCTCCAACAATAGATGACACCCATTTGGCTGCATTGCGAACACTCTCACTGTCAGTGACATCTAAAATGACTGTCTGCAGTCTACTGGAGACCTCTTTCTTCAGATTTTCAGCCCCTTTATCTGTCAGACAAGCAGCCAGAACCCTTATTCCTCGTCTGTCCAGGTTCTTTGCCAGAATATTCCCAAATCCTGTGTCGCATCCAGTAATGAAGACATATTTATCTACAAGATTGTCCAAGATTAGACTTTGTCGGTACCATCTGTACAAGAGGATCAAACCCAACACAACCAGCAGATGGAGCCACATGATGAATCGACAATATAATCCTTGTCACTGCAAAGTACATTCAGAAAGTTAGTGCACTCATAGATATAGAGTAATCAATTGTCTGTTCGTAGATTAATGCCATAGAGCCTAAAGATCAGTCTAAGAATAAACCCTTCTTATTGCTACAATATGACAGCATTAGAAGTAATAGATGGTCAAGAAAGCTGTTTATGTGCTTGTTAACATGTATCTCTCTGATATGTTCCTGGAGGTCTCAGGAAAGATAATATTGTGCCAGCGAGTGTATCTTTATTAATCACTGCCAACCAAGTTTTCTTTTTGTATCTAGAACACAGTGGTAGGAATCCTTATGACAGATCATAGGACCAGGAATGTGTATGTATCAGAGAACACTGCAGATCTTAGTATGATGGATCCGGGTAGGGCTTGGAAGCAATGTTGTAAATGGAATATTTCAGCAGAACAATGTTTTGGTTATTGGTGAACTACATTTTAAAGAGCAGATCCAGGCAACATGCAAAATCAGTCAGTGAAGTGCATTCAATTATCTTTAATCTGAGCTCCATGCAATTCAATATAGCCAAATCACACAAACATCTTCAAATGTGGAGTAGGTAGGTCTGTGCTTGTAGCTTCCACTGACTCTGAATGATGTATCACTAGACAGATTCAGATTTCCAAGACAACTTTCAATTTGCTCTGTGGAATTTCTTACTACTGTCATAATTAATACATCAGAGAGGAGGGGGTCCCTGCAAATCACAGAAAGGAGGGCTCATAGATCACAGATTTGGCAATGGCATGCAATGCCAAGTAGCGGCCAGCAAAGCAAACAGGATACTGTCATGCATTAGAAGAGGGATTGTAGCAAGGGATAAGACAATAATACGGTTGCTTCCACTTCATAAATCACTGGTTCAGCCTCATCTAGAGTATGCAGTGCAATTTTAGTCACCAACTCTCAGGAAGGACGTCCTCGAGCTTGATAGAGTTCAAAGAAGGGCCACAAATTTAATTAAAGGGATAAAAGGCCTGAGTTATGAAGACCACCTCCAACAATTAAACCTATTCTTCTTAGAAAGGAGGCGATTAAGAGGGGACCTTTTTGCAGTCTTTAAAATCATCAATAGGGACAACAATATTTGAAACAAGTTGTTTTCACCAAGAACAGTACTGAGAACACGTGGACACAACAAGAGGTTAGAGAGGGGGTTTAATCTTAGAACGCGCAAGGGTGAGAGTAGCAAAAATGTGGAACTCCCTTGCACAGGCAGTGGTATCTGCTGATAGCATAGTGCAGTTCAAGAAACTTCTAGATGAGTTCTTCAGTCACGAAATATACAAGGATATTGACATAAATACAAACACACATACACACACAGGTTAAACTGGATGGACCTTGGTCTTTATTCAACCTCACCTACTATGTTACTATGAGCGAGGAGTGGGGAGGACACATGTAGGCACTCTGTATGCATCGGAACGCTTAATCTGGAATTTTGACTGTAGTGTACCTTTAACATGCTGAGGCTAATTTACTAAAGGAGTTGAAAATGTTCACTTAATAAATTGTGTGAATATTCTCATCAACCATCCAATCGTGTAAAAAAAAAAAAATAACTCCTGTTTACTTATTTCATCTGCACATGTTTGGGTAATTAAGGTAAGCATTCACACAATTTAATGAGTAACCATTTTCAACTTCTTTAGTAAAGCAACCTCAATTTCTGTTACAAAGTAATACATTAAAAAATAAAATCAGTATTAATGACACATTCAAAATCCTCAAACTAGAGATTCCACTTGCTATTCCGGTTCCCACAAATCCTCTCACTCCATTCCTTCTCCTGGTCCGCACATACCAACATTGGGACCCAAATATGGTCTGACCCCAGCCCCCCTTATTTTTCTCTACTTCCAATACCATTAAACCACCCTTTACATGGCGGATCAGTAAGGACCTTCTTTTGGATGTGGCATGCGAGGTGGAGATTTTTTCCATTAACTTTACCACAGACTGATTGCTCTGATAAATTGGGAAGCCCTTAAATTTATCCTGTAGGGTGTATTCATCAAACATGGATCTCATTTAAAAAACAAAAGGAGCATTGAATTTGTCAGACATTTGTCCTCATTGGCTGAACTTGAAGCAAAAACGGAACTCCATTGTCACTGCCCTGTAGACATGTGCATGGCGAAAAAAATAGTTTCGGACGAAACAAATGAAAATGAAAAACATTTTCATTTGTTTCATCAATGGAAACAAATTTTAATGCTGCTTCGGATTTGGAGGCAAGGATCCGAAACCGCACAAACAAACTGTAGAACGAGCGGTGGCTGTATCGGCCAGGCAGCGTGTTCTACGCATGCGTGCTGCTATTTTGGAGTATATCTTGGTATACACCAAGATGGTGGCACATGAATATGTGGGTGCCGCCATCTTGGTGTATATCAAGATATACTCCAAAATGACGGCGCGCATGTGCAGAACTTGGCCGCTACTCGTTCTGCAAATAACGTCACCCACGTGTGCGGCATTATGTAACATTATGCACCCCGCCTCCAAGATGGCGCCGGGCATGCGCAGAATGCGCTGGTGGCCAATATGGCCGCCACGCATTCTGATAACAAATTTTTATACTCGAGTATAAGCCGTCCCGAATATAAGCCGAGGTACCTAATTTTACCACAATGCTCCGAGCGGGGTCATCTGGCAGTCTCCGGCCACCTAAATGAGGACCCGGAGACTGCCAGATGACCCCGCTCGGAGCGCCGCCCACCGGAGCAGCAGTGATGCGACGCTCGGCGAGGTAAGTAAGAAGACACCTGACGCTGACTCGAGTATAAGCCGAGGGGGGGCACTTTTCAGCCAAAAAAATGGGCTGAAAATCTCGGCTTATACTTGAGTATATATGGTATATGACCGAATATTATTATTATAGTACACGGGCATATAAAAAAATTGTTATTTTGTATTCGGACGTACCGCCGAATCAACTGAATTTCGTTGATTTGCATGTTCGTCCGAATCCGAATGCACATGTCTACTGCCCGGCAGGATTTGACTAGCATCAGAGTAGGGATACAAACGTTATTGGATGCAAGCGTCCTCTCACACAGGGATTGCATCAAGAGCATTTTTACAAAAATGGCAACAATAGCCGAAGAATATTGTTCCACTCCATCAGACAACAAAAGGCTGCTACTTACATTTCAAAAATGACATCTACTAATGCCGGTAGGGTTTATAAGACTAAATAGGTCACCGCAGAATTCCACCGCTTTTTTGCCCCTTTATACAACATTTATAAACTTCATTCTACTCTACCTCAATCAGCTTATGAGGACTCATGAACTGAAAGAACCATTTTCGGACATTGAAATCTTACAGGTCCTAAAACCATCCCATTAGGTAAATCCTCTGGACCAGATGGTTTATCATCTAAATTTCATAAACATTTTAGAGACCTCCTGACTTCACTTTTACAACAGACTTCCAATTAAGTCTTGAAGGAATAGCTCTATAGCCTCTTCTTCTCGTGCGCCTGATGTTCTTTTCTTTTTCTTACATAGTTACATAGTATTTGAGGTTGAATGAAGACATAAGTCCATCAAGTCCAACCTATTGCTGATGTATCATCTCATTCTTAGGAGTACTTGTACCCCTGTAAATTACGGTGCCTCAGGAAATCGTTCCAAAAGTTTCTTGAACAATTCCACACTCTTAGCTGAAATCACTGCTGGTGGCAGTGAGTTCCAGACCCTAACCGCTCTTACTGTGAAGAACCCCCTTCGCCCCTTGTGCTGGAATTTTTTTCCCACCAATTTTAGGTGGTGTCCTCTAGTTTTTGTAAAGGGGTTAATCATAAAGAGTTTGTTGCTAATGTTGCTGTCACTTTTGGCGTTCTGGCTCGTGCTAAAAAAGATTAATCTCTGACGACAATGCCATCTCTTCACCCCGATGTTTTTGGTCTGGTACCTACTCTTACCCTTTTGGCTAAGGTTTCCTGCTCGTCCACTGCTGATGCCCACGAATTATCACATTGTAGAGGAATTGAGGGGGGAAGAAGGACCTCCAAATTGGATGGAACAGAGTGAGGAGAACTAGGTTCTGTGAAAGTTAGCCTGGCTATTGAGGGTTAAAACCTCCCCCTCCTTCCTTCCTTTATTAGTGTTTTCGCCTGTCACATATGCCCTGCAGCTTGAACCTCTCTCCCAGCACTCACACTGATCTTACCTCTGTGCTGACGGACGCTGTCAAGTCACACAGAGCCCGTTCATGACATTGCTCTGTGACTCATAGTGGGCAGGGCAAGCAGAGGACCGTTCGGTCCTATGTTGACTGAGAGATTTATGCACACCCCGAATGGGCGGGGCTTATGATTAACAGTCACGTTCCATCTGTCAGCTAGAGGCTCTACTGATTGGCTGTTAGCCTTTATTTAATTAAATGGGAAGGAGGAAGAAGTTAGGGTCTGAGGAAGAGGACGTGGCCCCAGAAACGTGTTAACCCAGGCATATTGTGCCGTTACATAGGAACTGTCATCTGTGCAGCTCTTACATGCTGTGTCTTGCTTTTGTTAAGACTGATGATCAACTTCTGACTTTGAAAGCTTATTGTGATTTAATCTTTTGTGAGTATTATTCTATTTTTGCTATTTGCTCAATAAACATTTATCTATACTAGGGAAGGTTTTTGTTTATGTTTATCAGATATCACAGTCTCCCTGACTGATGTGGGGCAGCGACCTGTAGAACTTCTGTGTGCATATTTCTTCAGTGGAGTGGTTGACCCTGGCGCTATTGGCTTTCATTTTTGTGAAGTCTTGAAGGGATGACTGTTTTCCCAAACAATAGTTCTGCTAAAACCTAAGAAAGATCCTACTCATTGTAACAACTACCACCCCAGTTTGCTAATCAATGTAGACCTTAAAGGAGAACTATGAGGTGAGTGCTTTTCACTCACCTCATAGTTCTAGCCGACCTGTGACAATGAGACTGTCACAGGTCGGCTCAGTAGATCGGGAAGTGAGCGAACACATACCGGCGTTCGCTCACCTGTCGATCCTGTCACGGCTCTCTGCCGTGACAGGGGAGGGGCTGGATTCCGCCCTCCCCGCTCCGATCCGCCAGCGCTGACTGGGGGAGGGGGCGGGTACAGCTGGCTCTGCCTCTAGATAGGCAGAACCAGCTGTCAGTTACGCAGCTGGGCGGATCCAGACATAATTGTCGGGATCCGCTTCAGCTGCGGCGTCTCAGTATTACCGCTAGCAGCAGCTCACGGTATACTGAGCCTAGGGTGACGGGAGGACGCTAGTTTGTTTCCTCCCATTACCCTAAGGAGAACTATGGGGAAAAGCCCTAACCCCATAGTTCTCCTTTAAGATTCCTGGTGGTTCATATGACACCTTGCATTGCATGCTTCATTCACAAAAAACAAGTTTGCTTTGTGTTGGCTAAGGATCGTCACGGTCTGGGAATCATAGACACTAGGGATGGTTGCTCCAGGGTTTACAGAGCAGCCAGGAACTGACAGAGAAAGAATAATGCCTGGGACCTGGTCACAGGGTGTGTAGGGACTGAATGACTGCACGCTAGCTGGGGTGTGATAGAGGCACAGAGTCTGAGGAGTGTCACGTCTTCTCCAGAGCTCCTGATTGTGGAGATGGTTTTGCTGCAGGACATTGACCTCTAACACTCCTGTGCAGACACAGCTGACAGAACTACAGAGGACACAGTACAGCACTGAGATACTGGATTCAGTGGCAGGTAGGGCAGCAGTCTGTAACAAGGAGGAGCAGGATTGTTACAGTGGCACACAAAGAAAGCCCAGTTAAAGAAAGTGATTACACTTAAGCTACATGATAACTGTGCACTAGTATAGGATACACTGGAGCTCAGAGATTCTGGGTTCAGAGACACAGGGGGAAGGAAACTGGTTCCACTCGGGGTGTGGAATAATTGTGCAAGGGTGCAGGATTCACAGGAGGTTTCACACAGGGAAAGTGCGTTGCACTGTGGTTCAGGATTCACAGGAAGATGCACACAGGGAAAGTGCGTTGCACTGTGGTTCAGGATTCACAGGAAGATGCACACAGGGAAAGTGCGTTGCACTGTGGTTCAGGATTCACAGGAAAATGCACAAGGGAAAGTGCGTTGCACTGTGGTTCAGGATTCGCAGGAAGATGCACAAGGGAAAGTGCGTTGCACAGTGGTACAGGATAACTATGAAGGTACAGGGTCATGAGGGAAGAAGGGAAGAAGTGCATTGCACAGTGGTGCAGGTTAAACACGAACATACACGGTCACGAAGGAAGAGGTGTGTTGCACGGTGGTGCAGGATAAAAACACAAAGATACAGTGTTACAAGGGAAGAGGCAACACACTAGGAACTCCAAACAATGGAGCAGGGAATACAGCCACACAGAGAAATCTTCAGGGGAACACAGGAAACAATGTTACTTCTAAATAAAGCAAAAACAGAGTTAGGAGCTTAGATCCAGTGTGTACATGTATTGTAATAGGAAACACAAGATAATAAATAGATATTGCATGTAAAGAAAAGAAAAATGAGATGTGTATGAGAGCCAAGTCAATGAAGCATTCAGGGTGGCTGAGATAGTGATATTGTAATTTTCCATACCTTTGTGTGAACTCGTGAACTGGTTGTGTAGCCCCAATGCATAGGCATATGCAGAGTTCAGAAGGTGCGGGCAATGCAGTCTGATCCTATCTCTCTCAGCAACATAAAGCTTTATGTACAAGGTCACATGTGATATAGCCTATCGCCCCTGACGTTCTGTTATTTAACATGACCTTTAAAATAAACACACTGAAAAGATTATGAGGCTTTACATTCCAAATAACTTCTTTCTGCTGATTGTCAGCATTTGTGCATTTTTTCCCAGTATGCCAGATAGTTATGCAAGAAGAAATAGAATCACCAAGCTTAAATCTACAACTTATATACTGTATATATAAAGTGTAAACTATAAAGTGTAAACTAACACTAATGCAGCTTTACTACAAAAGGGCAGCAGGGTAGCTATGGTTGTCTCAGACTCTTTTTTTAATACTGTCTGCATTGAAAAAAGTGTAGGGTATGTGTGAGGAAATAGTTGCTAAAGTCCCTTACTATGAACAACAGGCAACTGGCATACATCATCCGATTCCCTCTATATTGCCACCATTGGTCTGTACCTAGGGTACTGATTAAGTGCCTGGATGCTGACTATGGTCCCATTACCTCTTAGCCTATGCCCCTTATTATTTGAATAATACTGTGATAGGTGGCCTTACTAACCAATACAAATGCATGCGGCAATAGCACTCTCAGCCTCACAGAAATTTTCCAGCTTGTGGGTCAACAATCTAAGGCCAGCAGACTGAGAGTGATTGTCACTCGGGTTTGCTAACGTCGCAGTTATCCCTTTCTACACACAAACAGCCACCAGGTCTTGTACCAGAAACAAGCACTGTTCCCAGGAAATGATGCAACAACTCTAACCTTTATAAAAGTGTATTTCCACTTTCGCAGTCAAATTGGGATAATACCTGTTGTATAGTTGTTACATGTTCCCATTCACATAGCATAATCTAAAAAAGCTGCGAGACAGGTTGGGTGCAGACACAGGAGTGGCACCCTTCAGAGAGAGCCATTACTGGAGACAATCCAGTGCTATTCACACATCCCAGTATAGGCACCGGTAACCCCCCCCCCCCATCCACCATTAACCCCTCAAGCGCCACACAGCCACATACCTGTACCCGCCCCTGAGACCGCTGAAACTTTCACACACTGACAGCCGCACACTCCACCAGGATTGCGCCCTCACAGCAGCGTGCCTCCTCTCTGTACTCAACACCAGTACCCCTTGGTTGCCTATGCCGCATTGAGGCAGTAATTGCTGCAAAAGGGGCCCAAACCAAGTACTGAGTACATATGCATGCTTGTACTTTTCAGAGGTCCGATATTGTTCTATGTACAATCCTTGTTTTATTGATTGCATGTAATATTCCAATTTTCTGAGATTGTGGATTTGGGGTTTTCATGAGCTGTAAGCCATAATCATCACAATTATGACAAATCACGGCTTGAACTATCTTGCTTTGCATGTAATGAGTCTATCTCATATATTAGTTTCACCTTTTAAGTTGCATTAGTGAAATAAATGAACTTTTGCACGATATTCTAATTATTTGAGTTTCACCTGTAACAGAGAGGTGATTCTGCTATCAATTATACTTTGCAGTACAGAAATCTTCTGTTCTGGTGACTTTGGCTATTGGACAGGAAGTAAGGGTAAATCTCCCCAGTGGGACAGAAAAAAAAGCTGACATGGGTTATAATGCTTCCTTGCTGTACCCAAAACTAACAAGAAGTCTTGGCTTCAGTTCCGCTTTAATGCAGCAGAGAGAGAATTGGCCGCCGGCAGGTATCAAGAAGATCGCTGCGCATGTGCGATGACGTCATCGCGCATGTCACGGCGGGGTGACACTCGGTAAGCGCTCCGGATGTCACCCAGCCTCGGGACACCCCTGCATAACCTCACTTTAAGTCGCAGTGATAGTGGTTTCCGGGACAAATAGAGAGAAAGAATCCCCCATAACTGGGGTACAGAAATCAATACAAAAATCTTCCAAGCCCTACAAAAACAAAAACGTTTTGGCTTTAACACAGCCATACTGATCTCTTTAAAGAAGCTGGTGTGCAGCTTTGTTCACAGTAATGGGTGTCAGACATTTTGTGTGCAACAACGTCTTACAATGTAGACAGGATAAATGATCTGCAAACAGCAAGTATATGCAAAATACTAGAGAGGATACACAAATTACTAAAGAGTATACATCATTACGTCATGTAGACATCACAGGTACCCCTATGCTTAGAGAATTAGGGTTAGTTCACACCAGATGCAGTGGTGATGTAGTCCGTTCCGTAAGCATCACAATGCTTTCCAATGGGATTTGTGCTGCTCTGTATGAAGAGAGCTGATTTATGGAGTGATACACAAATAAACTACAATTTCTTTTAATAGTTAGGGTACTTGAATGCATTTTTAAATTTTAACTCCTGAGTTTAGTGTCACTTTAAGGATTCATGAGGTCAGGATGAAAGAAATATGAAAGATATTTAACTAAGAATGAAAAACATATGTTTTTATTATTTATATTTTTGTTATTGTTTTTGTAATAATACTGTTGTAAGTCAAAGTGACAACATTGTCTTTTATTAGAATATAGTTGTGACACCCAGGGCTGGATTCCCCACAAGGCCACCGAGGCCTGACCTCGGGACGGTAGGGAGTAGAGGGGCGGCACAGACGATAATGTCCACAGGGGTGTGGAATTCCTATTGCCCGATGCCCGAACATGCAGTTCCAGGCCCCAGGCGGGCAGTCTTTTTCTACATTTAGCCCTGCTGTGGGCTACCAGGGCTAAATGTACAGCCTGGAAGCCGCCACTCGTTTTGTACAAGTGACCTCGGTGATGCCGCCAAGATCACTTGTAATAAGCCTGCAGGTCTGTCCCCTCCGCTGTCCCCCCTCCATGGTCTGCCCCCACCTCTGGCTGCCTCTGTCACCGCTGGCTGCCTCTCTCCCCGCCGTGGTTTTCGTGGACCCCCTCTATTCTAGGGGACCTGGGACCAAGGCAAAGTAGTTCAGAATGGAGACCGGGGAACATCCGTTCTCCGCTCTGCTCCATGTGAACACTGATACAGGAATGCTGCATTCGCAGCCTTGCCATCTCAGTTGTCACAGGAGAGCCAGCACAGTGCTGTGCTCATACTCCTGTATTGGAGGTGAAGGTTCAATAAAGAGAACCTGTCACCTCCAAATGTATTACACCGGTGCTCGTTAGCTCCTGTGTGATATGAATAAAGTTAAGTGGAGAAAAAAAAAATTGATAAAAAGTAAAACATAATAAAATAAATAAAAATTAGTTTAAAAAAATAAGAATAAATAATAATTCAAATAGTAAAAAAATTAATAACGTGCAAAAAAAGTAAAAAATAAAAACATGTAAAAAAAAAGATAATAAGATAAGTAAAATTGAAAAAGTAATAAAAAAAGTTAAAAAAATGATCAAGAAAAAAAAAACCCTGGGGGGCGCATTGAGGAACCTGGCCTTGGGGTAAATCCAGCCCTGGTGACACCTTTAAAGTCCCGTAAAAAAACGTTTTCCTTGTTGGAAACCTGCATCTTACAGTATTTGAGGGATGTGGTATCAGCACACCATTATAATCAATGACAGCACATATCTTGTGTGTAGCTATTAATAATGAAACATCATCTTTATATAAATGATAGGTGAAAAAGAAAGTGTTTGGGCTTAATCTACAGTAGATGCCTTCTATATTCACCAAAAGGAAAGTTGCAGAAATATGAGGGCACTTGCTGGATAGGCCTTATTTGAAATATGAATGCAGGTAATTATAGGCTAATAATAATGTTAATAACAAGGAAATTGTGCGTATGTTTATGGTGTATTTGTAGATTTTATAACAATGAAAACATTGAGGATCTACTGAAGAAGCAGGTGATGTTAAAATCCTGTAAAATGCGTACAGTGGTCGTTGACTCACTAGAAACACCAGCAACCAACACATCAAAGGTTGAATGTTTGTATTAAACACTATATTGAAAGAAAAAAATCATAGCTGGTCCAGGAAGAGCTTGAGGTTAACCCTCATGTGTTTTGTAATTCCACTGTACACTTTATGGAATGTCAATCTGTTTTGATTGAAGAAATAAGTACTTATTTAAAATGGTTTTGTAATAAAAAATTTTAAGATCTTAAACACGAGTAATGAGATACTGTTAAAGCCTGGCATCTTATTTTAAAGAAAATTGAATGTGAACATACACCAATCAGCCATGACGTTATGACCACCCAGGTAATGTTGAGTAGGTCACTCTTTTGCCGCCAAAACAGCCCTGACCCGTCGAGGCATGGACTCCATTAGGCCTCTAAAGATATGCTGTGGTATCTGGCACCGAGCCATCAGTAGCAAGTCCTGTAAGTTGTTAATGGCAGGACCCAAGGTTTCCCAGCAGACCATTGCCCAAAGCATCACACTGCCTCCACAGGCTTGCCTTCTTCCTCTGGTACATCCTGTTGCCATCTCTTACTCAGGTAAGCGACACACACGCACCCAGCCATCCATATATTGTGTAAGAAAATGTGATTCAGCAGACCAGGCCACCTTCTTCCATTGTTCCGTGATCCAAATCTGATGCTCACGTGCCCATTGTAGGTGCTTTTGGTGGTGGACACAGATCATGAGCACCGTGACCAGTCCGTGACTAAGATGCCCTATACGCAACAACTGTGATGCACTGTGTGATCAGACACCTTTCTATTGGAACTAGCATTACCTTTTTTCAGCAATTTGAGCAACAGTCATTCTTCTATTGGATTGGACTACATGGGCCAGCCTTTGCTCCTCACGTACATCAATGAGCCTTAGTTGCCCATGACCCTGTCCCCGCTTAACGGGTTTTCCTTCATTGGACCACATTTGGTGGGTGTTGACAACTGCAGACTGAGAACATCCCACAAGAGCTACAGTTTTGGAGTTGCACTGACCCAGTCGTCTAGCCATCTAGCCATGTCATATCCTTACGCTTCACCATTTTTTCTGCTTCAACACTTCAACTTCAGGGGTAAAGTGTTCACTTGCTCCCTTAGCCACTTCCAGGCGCCATTGTAACAAGATAATCAATGTTATTCACTTAATTTCTCAGTGGTTATAATGTTATGGCTGATTGGTGTTTTCGGATGTGATACCTAACCCACCATGCTGATGATAGTATGTGATACAAAAGGTGTAACTGACACACTGATTTTGAACTTTGGATATTCTACAGCCAGAAGATTAACGGAATAGAGATAAAACTATTTCTTTGGCCACTGACACTGTCGAGCATAGGGCGTGCTTCAAAGGCAGACGAGCTGAAATCAACAGGGAATGTATGTTCAGGAAAGTTAATATTTAATTACTGAAGGATTTTTGGTGACATAATCCTTTGTATACTTTTATCTTTGACATTTTATATGAAATATCATATAATGAAACAAAGAATATTTTGATTAGTGTGTGTTTACCTTTGCCTGGGCTTCAGCTTTGAATCTAATAACACACATGCTGGGTTAGTGGAAATTAGGGATGCACACACAGATACTTTTCGAGTACCAGTGCTGATACTTGGCATTTTCATGAGAACTACCAGGGTTGCAGCGGTTGCAGCTGGTACCTGGCCCTGGCACTCCACCACTGTCCTGAAATCATTGGTCTGTATTGTTTTAGAAAAACTGTCACATGACAATAAACAAAAATGTATCAGTACTCGTACTTGTAAGTACTCGGCAAGTACCAGTACTCGTACTCGCAAAACTGGTATCTGTGCATCCCTTTATTTATAGTTATAAAAACAAAATCGTACATTAAAACAGAAATGTACAAATCCCAGGAGCTCCGTGTGCTCCTTACAAATGACAGCTGCCTCCTAACTTTTGGATTTTTCTCTAGTGTAGTCTTGGAGCTCAAAAGTATCGGCACATGTACTTGTACTTGTACCGAATACTGTACTTGGTATCTGTGCAACCCTAGTGGAAATAATTCATCCCTCGATGTCCAATTTAACTTTATAGGTAAGTTGCTTAGAACATTTTAAAAACTTTGCCAAAATAGGGAGACTATTTGATAGCTGAATATTATGATGATGATAAATCTTTGTGCTGCCACATACTTTGTCAAGTAACATGAACAAATAATGATCTGGTACCTAGTTCCAACTAGTGTAGCTAATTGTTACCACTTATTACTCCCCATATTTTTAGGGATGTACAATGGCAGGGACAATAAAACATATCTGGTAGGATTGTCCCAAAGCCAAATGATTTTGGAAGAAGGTACATCAAATGCATACTATTTTTACTATTTTTGGCATACTATTTTTGGCAAAGTAATCCATGAAACGTTATACAGGGCCCTCCTATAGAAGAAATGTGAGGGTTGCAAAAAAATAAATTTAAATGTAAGCTTTAAATGTTAATATTTACAGTACCCAAACACTTTTACGAAACCTTGGTAATCTTCATACCACCCTCTGCCAGGTACAAATAGAGAGCCAATGGTATATGACTAACTAGAAACTAATTGTAATCATTAATGAAATGTAAGAAAGTATGGTCTCCATGGGTCAAAACTTTGACATTTCACTTGTGTGCTTCTCAGGACTGATAACAGTAGGTAACAGTCTGACCAGGTAATTCTCCTTCTTCCCTAAACTACCAGAAAATAAATGCAACCATTTAAAATTATGTTATACTCTTACACTGGTGGTGTGTGAACAAGTTTCCTGTTATATTACTGGTTAGTGGTAAAAAGACCCTCTTACATTTGTGGTCCATGGAGAAGATATCCAGAGTAAAAGGATTAATAGGAATGAAAGGGATTAGAGGAAGAATTGACTTTATATTTATATGAACTATTTAGAGCTGTGCAGATTTGTTTTTTTTAACAGGTAACAGAAACTGTTCCAGTTGCAGACATGAAAAGAGTTAAGACACCATCTGAAAAGCAATCCACTGTGGATCGCTTTTCAGAGGGGCAGTGGAGACTGCCATCTGTATGAACTCAGCCTTAAAGACAGCAGCTCTAACCCTGCACTCTATCACCTAAGACCCTGCAGAGCCCTGGTGAGACCGCATGTGTGAGAAATAGTGGGAGACATTAGAATCAAATGTGGACACCGGCATACAGGATCTGTATTTGAATGTGGTTCTTAACATCTATTTTAATCTATTTATGGGCAGTAAGTGGACATAGAAATTTGAAGATACAGGTTAAAGGAGAACTATGGGGTTAGGTCTTTTCCCCATAGTTCTCCTTAGGGTAAGAGGAGGAAACAAACTAGCGCCCTCCCGTCACCCTAGGCTCAGTATACCGCGAGCTACAGCTCGCGGTATACTGAGACGCCTCAGTATACCGCGAGCTGCTGCTCGCGGTATACTGAGATGCCGCAGCTGAAGCAGATCCCGACAATTGTGCCGGGATCCGCCCAGCTGCGTGACTGACAGCTGGCTCTGCCTATCTAGAGGCAGAGCCAGCTGTAACCGCCCCCTCCCCCGTCCGTTCCGCCAGTCAGTGCTCGAGAGGTGAGCGAACGCCGGTAACTGTTTTATGCATTTCTGCGGGTTAAAACGCGCACGCAGCCTGCGCGTGTGCGTGTTGGGCTTCGTAAATCAGCCCCATTGTCACAGGTCGGCTAGAACTATGAGGTGTGTGAAAAGCACTCACCTCATAGTTCTCCTTTAGGAGATATTAAAACTACATTTTATGTTTTATGACTTTAGTGATGCTTTAAGAGTAAGATATGGGTTTGGTGTCTGGGTTTGGCGGTTGCCAGGAGAATTTACTTGCCTGACTGCATTGTGCCAAGTGTAAAGTTTGGGGGAGGGGGGATTATACTGTGGGGTTGTTTTTCAGGGGTTGGGCTTGGCCCCTTAGTTCCAGTGAAGATAACTCTTAAGGCATCAGCATACCAAGACATTTTGGACAATTTCATGCTCCCAACTTTGTGGGAACAGTTTGGGGATGGCCCGTTCCTGTTCCAACATGACCATGCACTAGTGCACAAAGCAAGGTCCATAAAGACATGGATGAGCAAGTTTGAGGTGGAGGAACTTGACTGGCCTGCACAGAGTCCTGACCTCACAAATGCGCTTCTGGAAGAATGGTCAAACATTCCCATAGACACACTCCTAAACCTTGTGGATGCCTTCCCAGCAGAGATGAAGCTGTTAGAGCTGCAAAGGGCGGGCCAACT